TCTTTTAAAAAATTATTGAGCTTGTATGTCCCAGAGAAGCTGTGACTATTTCTGAAATCAAGTTAACAAGCTGCTAAGTTTTATTAGCATGGCTTGCTTGGGAGCTATTAAATGCTTTTCTTAAATTGCACTTAATCATTCTTTATGTTTTTGATTTATGGAATTCTCATACTCTTTTCCAACACATTAGACAGGTAATGTACATCTTACTTAATCAAAGATGGGTTTGCCTGCCTGGGCTTGAAAGCCAGAAGGCCTCAAGTGGTGCTGTCGAACCTATGGCCCTCTGAGCCACAGTGGGCTGTTTGTTATCCTGAAAGCTTTAAGAGGTTCTCCTTCGCTGGCTGGTTGACAGGCAGGGGACAAGGGCTGCTGTGCTTTTCCACCTACATGCTGAGGTTACGAATTCCTGTCTTTGAATGAAACATGTCCATATTCCAGAGAGACACTGAATGAGAGAGAATGTGTGGAAGTGTTTTGGGGAATTACATGGCTGTTTCATCAGGCCCAGAAAGACTGATGCTAATGCTGAAATAAGTTGGATACCATCCCTGTTTTGTTACATTGGAGCTGTAGCCGTTTCCCTTGTAATTTTCCCTCTTGTCCTATGTGTTATTCTTGTGTTTCATACCCCTTTAAGATGAGGCGTATCAAACATCTAAAGATATTGTGAGATTTTCATTGAAGGTCAAAGTATCATAATGAAATAATAAACCACAAATAATATTAAACTGGTATTTCTGAAAAAAAGATCTTAGTTTTTCAAAAATAAAATATTACACATTGCTTTTCAAGGAAATAACTGACTTCTAGTTTTGGTTAGCTATACATACCCTCTTACTTTAACATAACTTCATAAATCCTTTGCAAATAAATCTGTTTTATGGAGTCAGAAGCCAGGCCCACTGGAGTCAGAGTTATGTAGGCTATAGTCACTGTTCTCCAGCTGAGTGCCCTTGGCAGGTTATTTACATTCCTGTGCCTCCTCTTCTCATCTGACAAAGGCAGAGAGTGGTAAACTACCTACCTATTAGGGGTTTGGTGAAAAGTGGTGCAGGTGAAAAGTGGGTAAGTGTGACACATGGGTAAAAGGAAAGATGGCATCAACATAGAACCACAGGGCCAAATGATTGAAAGTGTAAGTTAGATGGAAGAGGAGACAGGGTGAGATGGACTGCATGATCGCATCTAAGTACACACCTACAGTGTCATCTGGGAAGACAGCATCAGCATATTCAGAAGAGGTGGATTGAAAAACACACTAAATATGTTTGAGATTTTTCTTCCATTTATGTGTTTGGTACAGGGTCTCACTACGCTGCTTGGACTCACAGTGATCCTTGTGTTTTCAGCCTCCCCAGCGCTGGGCTTACAGGGGTGCACCATCACACCCAGACTCGGTGGCTGGCTCAGTGCTTCCTGGGGGTGGGACAGTGCTACGTGCAGGAAAGGGGATCGAACCCTAGGGAAAAAGACACTAAATATGGAGTGGTAAATACTGGGATTTTAAATGATGCAAAATAAAAAAGGGCTAAAAAGAAAGGAGGTCGGACTTTGATTTGTGTAATGCTTGCTGTACTTCTGTGCAGCTTAGAAAAAGGGAAGTAATTGCTGGCTCGGAGCCTGCCCAGCAAGTGGATGCTCGGTAAAGGTAGCTCTTGTTCCATACTGGAACCTAGTATTGCTCTGAAGGGTTTGTCTGCCTGAACTTGAAGGCCAGTCTTGAGCTCACCACACTTGGAAGGGTAGGAATTAGGCCAACGGGGTCCAGAAATCAGAAAGAGATTATGAGAAGCAGAAAATGGAAATAATGTTTTCTCATGATACAGAATAATTAAGACAGTTGTAACAGCAATTACTTATTGGAAACTTATCATGTGCCAGACATTTGTTTATTCAACATATATAACAATACATGTCATTTATGTCTCCCAAGGCCTTTGCACTGTTATGTCCCTTGCTTTGTTTTTTATTTCAGTGTAACATATGTCCCTAGTCCTACTTTTTTTATTTTATGGGACCTCAACTAAGTAAGTAGCCCAGGCTGGGCTTGGCATTACAATCTTCCTGCTTCAGCTTCTCAAAGCGGTTGTATTACAGGTATATGCCACCATACCCAGGCCTCAACTAATATGTATTTACTGAGTGCTTATGTGTCTATCACTATTGTAGACATTGGGAATGTAGTATGTAAGCCACAAGCGCTGCTGATAGAGACTTTACACCTTGGCAATGTGTGTAAAATATGCAGTATGCTAAATAGCCATATGTCCTCTGGAGGAAACAACAGAAAACAAAGAAGGGCTACGCAGAGTGGGGTCACTATCATTTTAAGTGGAGCGAGCAGGGAAGGCTTCTCTAAGGTTATTTCAATTCTGTTGCATGTTTTACTTCTTTTAATGTTCTCAGTGAAAAAGTCACTTTAACACCATGCTGGTTTTCAGATAGGTAACTGAAGTCCAGTTATCCAACTCCAGAGACACTGTGGGCCTTTCCTAAGGTTTATAGGTGGCTGTGACAGACACAGACGCGGGGCCTAGGACTCAGGTTCCAGACTCCAGAGCTGTCTCTTTATGTAACACTTCTCCTATAGAGAGTTGGAAGGAGCACCTCCAGGCATCTGCCAGAATGGCAGCAAGTGGTTTGAAAAACTTTGAATCAATACTATCACACTATCAGTCTTATACTTTGAGACTCGTTTTGTGTGTGTGTGTGTGTGTGTGTGTATGTGTATGTGTATGTGTATGTGTGTGTTTGTGTATGTGTGTGCTTGCTTGCTTGTGGGGATCCCCAAACACAAAACAACACAATCTTTTGGGCTGGCAGGCGTACCCAGAGGCGACCAGGGACCTGTCAAGGAGTCTGGTTATGAAAGCCTGCTCCAAGTGCAGCCCTTTTCCTTTCTTGCTACAGGACCAGGGTCCTCAAAAGTGTAAGGGGATTGCTTAATGTCACATGGTCTTTTATGACAGTCCAAAGACCAGAATTGAGCTTGAAAAAAACAAGCACAACTCCAAAAGGCCACAGTCTTAGGCTTCTCCTCTAACGTGCAGAGGCCTCTGTGGAGCCAGACACTAGGTCAGTGAGAGGGACTTAGATAAAACCCACTAGCCATTGGGCCGGGGAAGGAGGAAGGGTGGGGTCGTGATGTACCCCCTTATCCCCATCATCCTTACGGGACACATATGACTGGTTATTTTGCATATGCAAGGAAGCGTCGAGAAAAACTACTTTCTTAAAAGCAGGAATGACTCCTGACCATGGACTCTTTTCCACACTGTCTATGGATCTCTTTGTTTCCATCATTTCTTCCCTCGGTTTTCTTCTGTCCATCCAAGGTGAAGTACTGAAGTTTTCACTAAAAAAAAAAAAAAAAAGCAAAACAACCTATCAAGTATCCCGCGGCAGCCTAAGCAGTTGGTTGCCCTGACAACATAGCCTTGGAGCAGCCCAGCCTCCGGCCTTGCCCAAGTCTTATTTCATCGAGTGGGTTCCTTTTGCTTCTGGGACTTCTAGCGACTGTCACTCTACAGCGCGCGCCGTTCTGTCCGCCCTGCGTGTTCCTAACGGCAGCACCAGCCCACTGTGGCCCCCAGTGCGCCCTAGAGTGTTGCGCAACCCTGGCGCTCAGCTCCTCCTGCATCCCCGCCAAGCCAACATCCTGTGGTTCTCTCTGATCTCTTCTCAAAGTCCCCTGGCCTCTAGCTCATAATAGCGTTAATAGATACAGCATAACGAGTCAGGCCGGTATTTACAGGTGGTGCACAGGTAAATTGAGTACACACAGAAGCATACACGCTGCACAAACCGCCCCGGGCAGGTGCACTCAGGAGAAGCCGGAGCCGCAGCCAGACAGGCGAGTGAAGCTGAACCCCAAGGGCGCTAGTCTCCGGATCAGGGGGCGGGGTTGACGTGGGCGGTTGATGATCCATGATTGGTCTGCTCCCTGGGAGGGGCGGGGCCTGCAGCCATGTGGGCGGTCATCTGCGCCTTGATTGGTACTGGGGAGGGGGATGCGGGAGGCGGAGCTGGCTGCGGAGGGGGTGTGCTCCGCGGCTGGTGCGGTAGTTTCACTATAAACAAGGATCCCTACTGGTTCAGGCGGGTTTTCTTCTTTCCGCGCGCTTTCCTAGCTTGCCCTTTGGTCGCATTTGGAGAAGCGCTGTGCGCAGCCCGGTGGCAGAGGACCTGAGTGCAGGTAGGTGGCTCTCTGGAGGGGTGATTCATCAGGGGGGCCGGGGACCCGGGGACCCGGGGACCCGCGGCGAGGACACCGGGCTGAGTTGCGCACTGCGCTCGCGGCTGAGACCCGGGAGTGCAGCGAGAGGGCCGATCCCCTGGCGCCCACCCCGGGGTGAGCCCAGTCCAGCCAGAGACGACGACCAGGGACGCCCCTGACGGGGCTTCTGGGGCCGCCCTGGCCCCACAGGTGAGGAACTGGGCTGAGGGGACCAGCGGCGACACCTGCGTGGGACACCTTGCCGCTGTCCTCACCCCACGGCCAGCTCTGCTTTTTGGAGATTTCGGTAGTTTCTGAGAATTTGTCTGAGTTTACACTTCTTTCCTTCCTGGGCTGTCTCCTTCGACTTCTTGGAAGGTTTCCCCGTGTGTTTGTTTGTGCGTGTGTGCGCGCGACGCTGTTTGTTTTTGTCGTCGGTTCCGTGTTCGCTGAGGTCGTCCGATTCTTGGGAAGGGACGGACGCAAGTCGTGAGCTTCCCTCCGACTCTCGTTCTTTAGCAGGTTGTCGTCCTCTTCTGTTCAACAGGAGAAGTTGGAAGACCACGGCTTGCTTTTTTGTCCTAGGGCTGGTGAGGCGTGTTGGGACACCTGTCCGGGTGATGCCACCGCGAGCCTGGAGGTCTTCTCTGTCCAAGAAAAGAGGGAGAAGCCGGGGGCAGGAGTGTTCACGCCGCGTGTGCGTGTGTGTGCGCGCCTGTGTGTGTGTGCACGCGCGCGTTGGGTGATCTGACCACTGCGCCGCACTTCACCCAGTCCACACTGGCGCGGTTGGGTGGAAGCGGCGCAACCGAGCCTCTTACAGCGCCGTTGTGGCACCGGCGTGGCACCGAGCTCGCAGAGAGCGTCCAGTTCTCCTGAACCCAGTTGTGTTACTTCGCAGATGAATCTTTTGGCCATGGTGTGTATAGATGGATCTGCTCACCTCTCTCTCTCTCTCTCTCTCTCTCTCTCTCTCTGTTTGGGTGGACGCGTCTCCTAGGAGGCCTTCGTCAGCAGCGCCATGTGACAATAGTCTGGAACCGCTGGTGTACATTGTGCTATATTTAGCTGTGATGATCAGCGGTGGCCAGGGAGGTCTCTGAACCGAGTATATCAAGGGGAAAAGGCCAGGGGTCAGGGTGTTGCCCTCCTGAAGGGAGTGTGGCACAGTCAGACTCAGATGTCAGGGGTGATTACACTCTTTCCTGCTGAGGACACACTGCAGCTGGGCATGTGATGACTGTCTTCATCTCAATAGAGCTGAGCCGTGGTGGTCAGCCCAGGCTAAGAAGCAAGGTTTAAAAAGAAGCAGAGTAGATAGCTGATTGGAGACCTGGGAGGAAATTACTGATAAAATGAAATTTACAGAAAATGTAGAATAGGTTTTCTAAAAATGGAGGGAGATAAAAAAATGTCTTTTGAGGTTTTTATAGCAGGAATAAAAAAGGGAAAAGGAAAAAGGAAAGAACAGGCAGCTGGTTAAGCCCTGTCATTCACCAGGATTTTATCTGGGGGGAGGGTTGAGCTAGTGAGGACCTAGCACTTCAGAAAGAAGTCGGGGTTCAGAAGCAGATTTTGTGGCAAGGCTCAGATCAGCCACTGATGGCAAGTTTCTTGTTGGCATAGGTACCGTGCATGTCGGTCAGTCCTTTGTTTTCCTAGAGGTGGCAACATTTCTGGCTACTGGCCTTGTGCTTTCCAGTTGTTCATGGCATGTTGAGTTCTTTGAATTTATTTCTCACGCGGTGCATTTGCAGTTTTCCCTCCCATTATGTGCTTCAGTAGACATTTTATTCGACATCACCGCACCTGATACCTGGGCTTATACTGTCTTTTGGAGAAAAGAATCACAAGATCGGATTTGTATTTGTTGTCTTTCCCCCCCTAGTTTAGCATGTGATCTAATATATTGTTAAGCAGATATAACTAAGAATTTAAATTTTTTTATTATTTATCATAGTGATATATATTTCTTGTACTCTTATTAACATTTCATTCCTACTAAAATTAACTAATGGCTAATAAGAGTACAATACACTGAATGAAACTGGTTGAATGTGAACTACCCTTCTACTGGAAAGAGGAATGTTAAGAACGTGGAGCAGAGAACCTGAGGGAGCGCCTGAGGACAGTGCCCCAGAGTGGGCCATTGTGCAGCACTAGGAGCCTTGGGGTTGGCTTCATCAGTTCCCAAAGGCTTCTGGGAGAACTGAACTTGAGAAGTCTTTGGATGATTATGGAGTTTCCTTGCCTTGTGAAGGCCATGAGGAAGAAAGGTTGCTGCCTCACTTGGGAGAAGAATCAGGAATCCCTGAGCAAGTTTGGGAATCTTCATTCTGAGATTACAAATAATAAGTGAAAAGCTTTTAAAAATAACATTTTATGAAGTCTTCAAGAAGAAAATTATACTGTTGGAAATGCTGCTTAAGACTTAACGGGATTGTGTTGTGGCTAGTGGTTAAATTTGGTTACCTTTCTACTATTTCACTTTCCTAGAACTACAGTTGTCCTTGTGTGTGTGTGTGTGTGTGTGTGTGTGTGTGTGTGTGTGTCCCACATATACCTACAAAAAATAGATCTTTGTAAGTCTATTCTGTAATAATTGATGTAGCCTAGTACTGTGGGCAGCTTTCTGCTCTGGGAATAGAAGGTGGGTTTTGAACCCTGACAAGCCACAAATCTTCCTATACTGCAGTATCTGTAAAATGGACAGCAGTATTGCACTAGATGATTTATGCATCGTCTTTTTTTTTAATCAATAAGCAATGGCTGTGCTTTAGTGTGCTGTCACTTCATAAGCTTGCTTCCTATATTGGGAAGAATCAATGAAGGATGGGAAATATTGTTAAATGTTCATCTACTTTCTGGGTACACAATAATCAAGAGAGAAGAATGAGAGTCTTATTGATTTATATAGGAATTTAATATGTTGTTAAATTGTTTTTTTCTTTTGTCAATCTCCTACCAGTATTAAAAATTATTCATGATCATGCAGTAGGAGCAGAAAAATATTCTTGGCCTATGACATCAGTATTGCTATGTATCAAATTTTTCATTTCTCTTCTGAACAAATATTTAGTTTATATACTTACTATGTATATTTCAAAGCCATTCAGTTGATTCAAATTTTATTAGGAAATGCTGGTATGAAAATTATTTAACACAAAATAAAAATTAAGCCTTGTAATAAAGCAAAACACCTAATAGACTGCTCACCACCATCTTTCTATTTATATAATGGAGAAGAATGGAAGGGGAGTGGATGAACATAGTTTTTCATAAACTTGTACCTGAAGAGTAAAATTAGCCCAATAGTACAAAATACAAGAAAACCTTACTTTTCACAAATGCCCTCATTAAGTGTCAGGTCATGTTGGAATGAATTGGGCGTAGAAAAACAATCTTTCATTGAAAGTGCTCCCCATGTGATATTCTATGATTTAGCATGAGATCACGCCTGTATCAAGGGCAGCATGCCTACTCGTGTCTGTCTTGTTTATTATGGCAGCCTTTGGCCACATGGGGATATTTAAACCTGCATTTATTTAAATGGGAAAGAATTAAAGATTTAGTCTCTCAGTTGCGCCGGGCTACGCAGGTGCTCAGCGGGGCCAACTACGACTGTGCTGGACAGTGAGGAAGGGGGACATTGTCAGGATCCCGGCACTTTTGACAGCTCTTGTTTAGGTCATTATGGTTTTGATTTTCCAGAAGATCATTTTAATTCTTCTGGGAAAAGGAACTCATCAAAAAATGGGCATCTAAGAAATAGAAAACATCAGGAAGGTAGATCATGGTTTATGTATCACTTGTGCAGTGTGAGCGGTTCCGTTCTCCTGAGTCTAATAGTACGCCAAGATCACAAACACCAATTGTTTTATTTTTATTTTTTTGCCCAGACCTCTAGTAGCCCTTTTGCTTTTCCTAATCCAGCACCAATTTGCGGCTGAAACAGCACCAGCCCTCAAAGACAAGGAATGAGGAGCCACCTACTGTTCAGCTCAAGTACTGCATGGGAGTTGCTGGTCACAAAGGTGGTTAAAGCAGAAAAGTCAGCAGGTCCTGGATGCACTTTCCAGTCAGCAACGCCTTTTTTGTTTTCTTCTCTCTTCTCTTCTCTTCTCTTCTCTTCTCTTCTCTTCTCTTCTCTTCTCTTCTCTTCTCTTCTCTTCTCTTCTCTTCTCTTCTCTTCTCTTCTCT